ATTTCAAAACACTATATTTTTCAAAGTATTATACATACAAATATGATTGATACATGAGAAGACCCGCAAACTCACGAAGTTTGCATCATGATACACCAGTTGGCAGCATGAGTGCAGTGCCTCACAAAATGGCGGCGAAGCTGGAAAAGAGTTTCTGTGTGTTGGAATATGCGAGATCTTCGTCTGTTATTGCAGTGCAGAGCGCATTCAGAGCAGAGCACAGAAAAGAACCACATGTAAACAGAGCATTCTGCGGTGGTATCGGCAGTTTAAGGATACTGGTTGCCTGTGTAAACGGAAAAGCGCAGTGTTTTGAAATAGAATGAATAATTTGTAGTAACCCTGTATTATGAAACATATTTCAGTCGATATCGAACATAATATTGATATAACTCCACATAATACATTTACGATTATTATGCAAGTCATCATACTAAGGTAAAAAGAGGCAAAGCTGGCCCTGTAACAGGCCTTGAAGGCCCATACGGTTTTGAGACGTCGAGGCCCCCACACTTTCTAGACAATAGGCTCATAGATGGCGGTAACTTTGTCAGCCTTACGCGCCGGCCGCGCTTTAGCCCCCACCCTCACCCCACGAAGATTCCTGGTACTCATTTCTGTTAGGTGTCAAGTCGACCCCAGGGCCACAGTGCGGCTGGAAGGACCAGGACACCTGAAAAAAGTCCAATGACGTCATCAGGAATCGAACCCGCGACCATCCGGCTTCTAGCATAGTGCCGCAAGCAACTATACTACCGCGTGCCCCCTTGCATACTAAGGATACCAAATAATCCCATGTAGGAACCTTCGGAACCTATTAATTCTACAGTAAACTGAGTGTATATCATTTCGACTCTCACGGACATGGTTATTAGTCTCCATTTCTGTATCGGACTAGCGTCTGTCCTAGTATTACACGGATATCTGAATTTCTGTTCCTACTGCAGGACCTGCAAGAGGAGCGGGAATGTTTGTAAATGCAAATAGTGGCTAGAGGCAACAATAGATAGGTGAACTTAATTTAAGAATTTTCAGTGTGTGTGAACTTGTGTAATAAAAATACTACTGCAGTCTCTGAAACGTCAGTGTGCACACAAACAGAAAATACGACACACAAAAACTACGATACCCGCAAAAGAGTGCAACGACGGCATTCCAGTCATCAGACTGAACTAAACATTGACGTGCATGGAAGCACGGTGAACAAGTGAACAGTGCAGTGGTTTCCCCAAAAGAAAAAAAAATCACCTGATGATGGCCGATGTGAGGTCGAAACATGACGTAAAATTAGAGACATTTCAGAAATTTTGATACTCACTTTTAATGTATAAAATATACTTTTAGTGTCCTATTGACATTTTAATGATTTTAATATCATATGTGTGAAGTTAAAATACATTTTTAGTGAGTGACATATTCTTGATGTCTTTTATATTGTTGCATTATTGACGGGCACTCTCATAATACGGATAATGCCTCAATGCAATGGAATCCTTAACAATTACATCGTGACAATCTCTAAAACATTAATGAAAGCCGCACATGTACGCAGTCAGGCGGCACAATCCTCTATCAATAAATATATCATGACAACGGTCACCTTTCCATAACCTAATAGCAGACCATATTACAAGAATAAGCCGTTTTATAGTTTTCTATAGATCTTTAAAATCTCTGTCGTAACACAGAGAAGTACTGAACTTCAGAGCTATACAAGTTGTGTTCTAAAAATTAACTTAATGGGTCAGAATCGTTCTTGATGAACGGATAATCGCTTAGCGTGTTCAGGAATTATCGGCTCTTTACAGGATCCAAGGTTCATTACCGTGTACACAGAGGCCAGGAATTTGGCCTTACCCTGAACCAGTTTAATCAAGCCCATGACCTCATTTCCTAATACTTCCAGATCCACTTTAATATTATCCTAAAACTAAGCTTATATCTCCTTAGTGTTCTACATGTTCTGCCAATCGCATTCTTCTGGATTTGTTCAACTGAATAATGCATGATGTCGATTCTTCACACTCGCGTTGCTTCCATTCTCTTGGGTGAATTTCGTTTTTAAATACCCTGAACCCAGGTCTTTCCCTTTGGGCGACATCCGATTATCACACCCACATAAAGAAGGTTCTGCACTTCAGTCTTCAGGTCTGCAAGTATGAGAGGGGGAGATGAACGACGGTAAAACGAATGTCAGCAGGCATTCCAAGAATCTCACTTGATTCTAACTTCTTCGCCGATGCAATTTTGATCGACTTTTTATTGAGTGTTACATTTTTTGTCGGGACACGCGGTAGCGTAGTTGGTTGAGGGGCTACGGTAAAAGCAGGAAGGTCGCGGGTTCATGTCCCGATGAAGTCAGTGGATTCTTTTCGGTTGACCTAATCCTTCCAGCCGCACTAGGCCCTGCGGTTTACTCAGCCTCTAACACAAATGAGTACCAGGAATTATTTAAATAATTTTCCTGGGGAGTAAAGCGCGGCCGGCGCGTAAGGCTGATAACCTTACCGCCATCTTTGAGCCGATTGCCTAGATCAGCCCTGTCCAACGCGGCGCCCGTGGTATATTTTCCTGGCGCCCTCCGTAACCACATATAATTGAGCCGATTTTTTATATTAATTCAAATTGTAAAACAAGAGACATTTTTGAACGTCTGCGTACTGTTAAATATTTTCGAAAAATTTTATTATTATTATTATTATTAGTAGTAGTAGTAGTAGTAGTAGTATTAGTATTAGTAGTAGAAGTACTAGTAGTAGTAGTGTGTGGTGGCGCCCGCACCTCCATAGGCATCAGTGAATTGTGCCCAAGTACATAAGAAAGTTGGACAGCACTGGTCTAGATAGTGTGGGACCCTCAACGTCTCACAACCCTATGGGCCTTCACGGTCTGGTACAGGGATAGCTTTACTTTGCTTACTTTACATTTTTTGTCACATAGGAAATGTTACTTATTTTTTTTAATTTATCCTGCAATCTGGTAACAAGACATGAACATATCTTCGTTTCCATTGCCGTTACCTCTAGATCGATGTCCTTATTAGCTCCTTACAGACTCTCTTCAGAGATTTTCTTTATGATATTCACGCTTCCAACAAACACAAAACACTCGTACTTCTTCCAAACATTTCAGCCCTTATTGCATCTCCTTCAGGTCAGTGGACGGACTGTAGACGTAACTTTACACTTCACTACGCATAAAAATAACAAGGCCAAAATTTTAAAATAATTCCTAGTAATCGTTCGGCATACGGGCACTTGGGTACCCCATAATTAAGCAAGGACACACAAGTGAGTGCTAACAAGTGGGATGTTGTACCGAAGGGAGATTCAGTTCCGTACAATGCAACATGTGAAGTCGTGCCTCATTGGCAATGTCTATTTTTAGTCCTGAATGGTACAATCAATGGATTTTTGAGGTCGGCTATTTCAGTCGTTTCGAATTACATAACAACGCCACGAAAGCACGTCTTTTAAGAGAAGCACACCTAACAGAATAAAGCAGTCTCTGTTGTTCTATGCTAGCGAAGGTCAAGCACATAGTACATTTCCAAGAAGATGCCTCAAGCGACTGTGAGTGGGGTCAAACCCTTGCCACTACATTGGGAAATCTGCTGCAAAGACATCACAAGTCATATTCAATGAAAGGAATAAATAAAATTACGAAACATCAAAGTTATGGGAGAGACGGCGAACCCATACTGAACATTTCCTTGAGTACAGTACTCCTTGCCCTTGCATTCCGCAACATTATGCTCCTTGAGTACAGTACTCTCTTCCCTTGTATTCCGCAACATTATGCTCCTTGAGTACAGTACTCCTTGCCCTTGCATTCCGCAACATTATGCTCCTTGAGTACAGTACTCTTTGCCCTTGTATTCCGCAACATTATGCTCCTTGAGTACAGTACTCCTTGCCCTTGCATTCCGCAACATTATGCTCCTTGAGTACCGTACTCTTTGCCCTTGTATTTCGCAACATTATGCTCCTATCAATTGATTCTTATAAACATTAATCCATAGGCCTGTGCTGTTCATTCTGAATATAAGATCACGTATCACCATACCCGCGTAATTGCTCCGGCCTCCATATCATCTTAAGTAACTAATACCTTTTCATTAAAACTGGTATGTACGTCATGCCACTAAAGGTCACTGTTTCCTTGTAATTTCTAATTTCCTGCCATCCGTAATAGCGCTAACAACGTGGCGGTCATGCGAACTTCTGAGGTCGAACCGACATAAGCGTCTCTCAACGCGCTCATTCTGAAATTCTGTGAAGCACACATATCTTTGGAAGATACTAAAAAAATTGTTTAAGCAATTCTGTGCATAATGCATAATAAGATAACGGCACCCGCGTAAAATCTATATTTAGCGTTCCAGCTACCGGCAGTCACTAATGAACAATTAGAGCATGATATGTAGAACACGGCATCAGAAAAATACAGTATGCACCAAAACGAAACGTGGTTAGTCGAAAATAATCAATGCTGCACAATTTCTTGTAGACGGTGCCAGCTTTATCGTTCTGGGAACCTAGATACTGCAAATTATGCATACAAATCAGCCATTAAATTGAGTGATTATAACTTTATCACCAGAGAGATTGAAACACAAAGACGGAGAGCGGCATGGAATCGTACTAGAAATAGATTTCAACAAATGTGGAGTATTTTTTCGAAAATTTATTACCACACACACAATTTTATGGCCTAACAGCTTAATTTGCGACGCCAGTGCAGACCACGTCTTGTACGTTCGTCTGGCCGCCATACTCATATTATTGATCTAAGGGAAGTGAAAGTACAAAAGCAGGATATGCTCTTGGGGTATACTCATCCCAAGTTTCTAAGAAAATCAGACTTACAGATTCGACTGATACCGTAAGCATATTATTCATTACACAGAGGAAAGACGGACGAAGCGTAACTCCTAATCTCACTGTTATGTAGGTTTCAATATGTTTCCTGGCAGTGGAGACAATAGTGTACATGTTTACCTTTTTGCGGCAGGTGGGTGAAGGCTGAGCTTATTTCTACATTCCGGTATGACCCCACGTCTTCTGAAAGACAAGAAAGCCTGCTGTGAGGAAAGATGAACACAAAGAAACGAATAATAATTAAAAAATAACATTCACAATAATATCCCCTCCAGATAAGATACTGCTTCACTATTTTCCAGTGCACTAATAGACTGGCAGGCAGCCCAACAGATTTCAGTTTGTCTTAGCGTCACAGTCTGCATTTCCGTAGGACGAGAACACGCTTAACAGTTAGAGGAAAGGGCGTCTTCATATACCGTGCGAATGGAGACTGCCCATACTGTTCTGTCCTACTGTGAGATCATGCAAATGTGCAGTGCCCAGGCCCTTATTCATGGTTCCATCTTGAAACCTAAACAGTTCCTTCAAATTCTGAAATCTATGAAGCCCTTGGAATGTTAGTCACAAAACCTCTCTCCTAGCCAAATCTGGTAGAAAGAGCCACATTCTCTTCATCCGCGACTGCTACTCGATCTGTCGTCCATTTTGTAATCTAGCAGCTGGTATAACTCAGTAATATAGAGGGGCTACGGGTTGGATGACTAAGTTTCGATTCCCATCAGGGGTAAGAGATTTTTCTTTTTTCCACAGCGTCCAGACCGGCTCTGGTGTCCACCAGTTTCCTGCCCATTGGACAGCGGGGGGGTAAAGTGACCAAGGCGTGAAGCTGACCATTAAACTCCACCTATAGCCGCTATCAGGCATAATGGAGCTATACCTTCCCATGCGCCTTCATGAACTGGTGCTTAATTAATTAAGCACAGAGGCAATTTTGCCTCTCCCCTTCACTTCTTAATCTAGAAGTAACATTTCATACGAAGTCAAGTTGTTATTGTTTCTGGCTGTTTGCAGTGTCATATAAAATTCAATTGGATTTCCGATCTCTCTTCTTTTCTGACATGCACCGTCATTACCAATGGAAGCTTTTTCTATTCGGAGACAAATTTATCAGCATTTCATCGACAAGGTATAACGTTTTTTATTAAACTCTCATTAATTAATAAAATCACTCCGGAAGATGCCCTGTTTCTTTCTTATGCAGTATCATAAATCATCAAATGCTTATCTGGCTCCTACTATCCGTTCAGTTTCATTTCAGCTCCTATCACCAATCCGCTAAACCTTTCTCCGACTCCACTGCTTCCCGAGGAAACGCCTTACATTCCACGGTGATATTCTGGATTACTTTCAACGTGACTGCTACTCATTACTTTTACCCTAGTCTTAATTTTTAAAGCCTCCCGGGAACTTTTAAGAATGATTTTATACGGATGGGTTTCCAGACCACAGCACAGCACCCAACGTCAAGAGATGAGGTTTTTCTGTTGCTAAAATAAATAAAATAAATAAAACTAACAGACAACTGTCTGGTATGTAACCTCACCCGACAATCTCTGTCTTCCTATAAGGAATGTGCCCCCCCCCAAAGAAAGAGAGAAGAGAATAAGAAGACACAATGCGCTTTCCTAGTTTAGGAGCTACGGCAATTTCATGCCCCGACAGGTTACAGTACTTAAAAAGGTACAACGCTCGGTTGACTGCTTTGGTGGAAGAGATTCGCAATGGACAAATCCGTTCGTATCAAAACAGCATATCAGCATGATTTTGATTTTAAACTTTGACATTCGCTCTTTGTTCGGTCTCGGATACTGTGTACATTCCCACTGCATACGTCGGTGTTTTGCTTCTAGATCGCACTGGAAGACGCAGTCTTATCACCAGTCAAGTCCTATTTTTCAAGAACAGTCGTATTCTGCCAACCATCTTGTTGAAAGGTCTAAGCAAATATGTTTTCTAATTTTTTTTGACAAACAAACCAAACACTTAGTGGTACCATGATGCCAACGGGATCCCGACTCTTCGACAAAGAACAGCTTAATTAGTCACGTGATCCAACGCTCCTCATCTCATCAGTGTTGTCAGTTGCTGCACAAAGACAACAGTCCGATAACGCCTCAAGCCCTGCTTTCCGTCCCTTGTTTTTTTTTCTCATTATTAAGACTTTGAACCACTACTGCGTGAAACGTTTCACTGTTCAACCGGGGAAACGGCTACTCAGTTCAAACGGCCCTATCGGCTTTCTTGAATGCTGTTATATGTCACAGGCATTTATAAGATACTAAAGTTGGAACAGGCCGGTCACGGTAGCCGAGCGGTCTAAGGCATGTACTGTCTTCGCTCGCTTGGAAACCGGGATCGTGGGTTCGAATTCAACTCAGGGCATAGATGTTTAGTTTGTGTGTGTGCGTTTCTCTGTGTTTGTGTACAGGTAGAGGCCTTGCGACGAGCTGATCACCCGTCCAAGGAGTCCTACCGAATGTGTAAGATCTAGAAAAACCGAAGTGAACGGAGAAGTTCATGGAAGTAGGCCTAGGCCCACTGGGGCTGTAGTGCCAAGGAAAAGAAAAAAGTTGGAACAGAGAAATTTAAGCCAACTTATGGGCAAATCAAAGAATAACTCAAGAAACACTTGGCTGTAACACTCAGAAGACTAAATGTCATCGAAATAATATTGTGACACGTGGGCCGTTTCTAGGAAACGATCTGGCAAATACGTTGTCACGGAAAGATTGATTCTTGGAAATCAACTGTTTACGTAACACGGTTTCCATGGATACGAAAACTGAAAGTTGTAAACATTTGTAAACCGGACCGTTGTTTCGGAATTCACACGGTTTCCGAGGCAATGCAACCGTGAAGTGCAGTAACGGAACCATTGAGGGCGATGATCTCTGTTCGATTCTCTGTTCGGTTCTCTCGCAGCTGTAAAAGGGGGGTCATTCGTGAATTCAAGAGATTCTTTCGTAAGAGACTTCAGAAGGCAGTTCAGTAGTTGAGGATTTTGTTGTGCAGTGTTAACCAGATAAGATTCGTTTCCAAGCAGCGACTAAGCAAGCAGACACTGAAGACTTCATTTTGTGTGTTATAGTAATCTTTAGATAGTTATAATTATTTGTAGTTCCGACCTGTGGGTGTCCAATAAATATATTCATCTAATCCAGAACCCGTTATTATTAGTCACGCTGACCTGAAATATGTGACAATATATAAAAATTTAGATCTTACAGGAAACACACTATGTCTCCGATATAAAGATGAACCGGTTCATGTTATGAGAACCACACGAAACACACAAATGCACTCTGTGGGCAGAATGCATAGCTTTGTACATATAGAACAGAATGGAGGCCTTTACCTACGTTCAAAAGCATTCGACGCACAATTCTGTGATGGCAAGAGATTCACACTACATGGAATCATACAAGTCTAATTCGTGGGAAAATTAGTACTGCACCAACTCCTGGATTTCTGCACGTTTTGCGACTCCATCTGTTTTTAACATTACTTGCAGATATAGAATATTTGGCAGAAGTTCTGTAAAATTTTAATTCAAATTTACAATTGGATTTTGTATCCGTAAAGTAAGTAAAAAGTAAATGTATCCATGTAGCAGGACGTGGAAGCCCACAGTGTTGTGAGATGTTGAGGCTCCCACATTTTCTAGAGAGTCGGCTCACAGATGGCGGTGAGGCTGTCAGCTTTACGCGACGCCGGCCGTCCTTTAACCCCAGGAATATTCCTGATACTCATTTCTGTTAGAGGCTGAGTCCACCCCAGGGTCATAGTGCGGCTGGAAGGATTAGGTGAATTTAAAAATACAGTGACCTCACCGGGATTTGATCCCGCGACCTTTCGACTTGAAGCGTAGTTCCTCAACCAAATACGCTACCGCGTTTCTTTTTCGTTCTTCGTATAACTATTACATATCGTCCTAAGAAAATGCCATTGCCAAAGGTTACGGTCAGCTCGTTCTGAGCTCAGCTTTGAAGTTATCGATGTCATGGCGCGACAATCGTGTATAATCAGTGCTGTATCAGACTGTACATAAGCCTATATTAACTCTCTGAAGCATGAAATTCAAAGAGACGTACATAATATTTAACATTTCAGTTTGAACCTCAATGTAAACACACTTGTGTCCCCATTACACAGATCAATTGCTTAATGCTGCTTAGGAAAGAAATCGTTGTTTATTCTTAAAATGATCAGAAACAACGCGAGATAACTGCTTAATTTCTTACTGCTAAAAATATATATCTTAAAATGATCAGAAACAACGCGAGATAACTGCTTAATTTCTTACTGCTAAAAATATATATCTTAAAATGATCAGAAACAACGCGAGATAACTGCTTAATTTCTTACTGTTAAAAAAAATCTTANCAATTTAAAAAAAATCTTAAAATTATTAGAAACAACGCGAGATAACTGCATATTTTCTTTTTTTTCCCCCTTGGCACTACAGCCCCAGTGGGCCTAGGCCTACCTCCATGAACTTCTCCGTTCACTTCGGTTTTTCTACATCTTACACATTCGGTAGGACTCCTTGGGCGGGTGATCAGCTCGTCGCAAGGCCTCTACCTGTACACAAACACAGAAAAAGGCACACAAACATCCATGCCCTGAGTGGGATTCGAACCCATGATCCCGGTTTCCAAGCGAGCGAAGACAGGTCATGCCTTAGACCGCTCGGCTACCGTGACCGGCGCATAATTTCTTACTGCTAAAAAAAATATAATGTATATAGTTACCACTACATAAGAGAAGCAGAACGTTGGTCTACGCATAGACTTCTATCTCTCAACGGACCTTGTTGGACCTTGGCAGCTTTATCAGTTTCTTAATCCTATACACGGACGGTAAGACTCCTTGGACGGGGGATCAGCCCGTCGCAAGGCCACTAATACACACAGAACAGGAACATAAAATAAACGCACACAGATATCCATGCCTCGAGTGGGATTGGAACCCACGATCCCAGCGTTAGAGCGACTCAAGACAGCTGATGCCTCAGACCGCGGAGCCACTGTGATCGACACGCACAGGCTTCACCGACTCTACCTAAATTTATACGACAATGAACAGAGCATAGTGATTACAGAGTCTACAAAGTGATACACAGACTTCGTCATAATAATTCCTACTTGCACAATTTTGCCAGCAGCTGCAGATGAAACAAT